TTATTATAATTATTATTACATGCCTGCTTCGTCTTTGGAGAGAGAAGGAACCCAACAACCACGAGCTTCGACAGAATATGATGGGAAACTTTAAGAAAAGCAGGTAGAGACTATGACAATTATATATTCTTAGTTTTAGTTTTAGTAGAGGTTTTACGGCGCTCGCGACTACATAGGGTCATATGAGCGCCAGAAGATTAGAGGCGTTACAAGGGAGTAACAAACATAAAAAAGAAGAAGGGGAGATAAGGGCGATAGAAGTTTGATAGGAAAGAAGGAGCAGACCACAAAAGAGCACCCGCCAACCACCCACATATATATTCTATTGAGAGATAAATTTCAAATCGTTATAATATATGTAATATACCATTATATTATATAGAACGGCTATAAATTGTCGAGGAGAAAAGTGACTGTGTTATAGGCCTACAGGTAGCCATCTTACACATAGTCATTATAATAATGTAAAAAATACAACAACAGATACGCAAAGGAGGAAATGGGAAGTGGCCGTTTGTACAGGTTATTGCCATAATATATAGGTGGCCGTTAAAGCAGGTTCGACTGTATCTACTAATAGATCATGTATATTATATTTATGAATGGATTAATCATGGATAATATATTATATTTATGAATGGATTGATCATGGATGTATTATGTTTATGAATGGATTAATCACGGATAATATACTATATTTATGAATGGATTGATCATGGGTGTATTATATTTATGAATGGATTAATCATGATCGAATAAAAAAACAGAAGTTTCTGCTTACCGCCCCGCTACCCCCATGGATCAAAACCGTCTCTCCTGGTTTGGCTTGAGCTCTATAACAGGGAAAATATTATATTTAAAGAGGATGCTGAATTGTTTTTGTAAGGTTTTACGGCGCTCGCAACTGCATAAGGTCATATGAGCGCCAACGGGTGAATGTCAACAGAGAAGTCCAAACGGGGAATCAGGCCACCTCTCTAGCTTCAACAATACAAAGTCTGCTTCGCTTATCAAGGCACCCCGGAAATAGCAGTTCACAACAGAGTGACAAACATACCAAGCAAGTAGAGGGAAAATGACAATAGTAAGGATGAGGAAAGAAAAGGCAGCAGTTCCCCTATGTTGTTTCGGCCCAGTATGAGCATGAAATTGATACATCAGCCAATTAACAATTCTACAGTGCAAAAGAACTATTTGATACCCCCATTTTGTGAATGGCCTAAAGACAACTTCAGTCAGTAGCACTGCCCTGGTTGGGGGGTGGGGGTGGATGCTGTATGAGATAAAGAATACGCAATGGGGACAATGAGAGCGACAGACAAAATTGAAAAGACAGACAGTGTAAAAAGGGGAGATAGAAGAGAGAGAGAGTGTATGTGTGTGTGTGTGTGTGAGAGAGAGAGAGAGAGAGAGAGAGAGAGAGAGAGAGAGAGAGAAAGAGAGAGAGACAGTCAGAGGGTAGAGGCATCTGAAAGATACAGAATGACACTGAGAGACAGAGTCACTGAAATGCGGTTGCAAAGAGTACACTAGATTTATGACAATGTTAATAGTTGCATATGATGTCTGTAATACCTTTTGATCAATTGAATCATAATTTATAACTACTACTACTATCAGCATTTACTTTGTTTCCAAGGTTTGCACCGTGCGTGATTAAAATGAACACACTACTATGGCAACAATTCATTTTGCGATTCAAAGTCTTGCTATGCTTAATGGATGACTAGACAACAGCTATGCTTTTTAACACTGAACTCATGCAAGGCCGTTCATGTTGCATTTCAATGGGTAACTTTTAAGCCAACGAATCTGATAATTTATGTTATATTATATCGCCCAAGGAAAGTGAAGTGTAAATATCTTATTCAAGAGCCCAATAATTAAAATTTAAAGGCTCATTTTCGCTCTTTATCAAACAGAAACACATTATGTCCGTTTTTTTATAGTTTAGTTTTGTTTTGTGGTTTGTGGTTTTTGAGGGTTTAGAGTTTTATTTTCGGAAGAGAGTGTGTTGACTCCTGTTTCAAATTCCTGAGCTATACGCTATAAAAATCATGCAGCATGCATCTTGGGTAAACTGTCCTCTACATGTTGTTTTAAAAATCTAGACTAACTCTGAAAAATCACAAGGGCTTCTTCCGGTCTAATAACAGGATACCAGAGATGAGCTCATCTCGGTTGAATGTATGATAATTACGTGAGTGTTTGGTATAAACAGTTCTTTCATTCCTTTTTCTTTACCCTCGGTCACGATCCAGGAGCTTCGCCTTCAAAAGCACTTCTTCGAAGCTAGGAGGACTCGGGACACACAAAAAGGAGCAACAAAAATAATGTAAACGAACAACCAGATTAGCAACATTAACATAAAAAAGCATATTCATCAACAACAACAACAATATTAAACAACAACATTAACAAAAGCAGTCACTGTGAGTGGGAACTGAACGATGCTTATGCTTTTTATACTGATTACTGTGCTTTCCAATCAAGTTCTTTGAGCTTGGAATCCCTTTTTAGAAGCAATAGTGTGATGTTGAATGGTTTGTTCGGGGTTTCACATGTGACATAATGATCATCTGAGATTGGCTCCACTGAAGAGAGTGTTGAGCCTTAAGGCTCTTCAAATAACAGAAGTTAAATATGAAATAAGAATCGCTGTCTGTGGTATAAAATTCTTTGGTTTTTAAGCCTAGGCCTACATGTGAAAAGCAACAAATAAGTTTGATTGCCCCTTACAGATGCCACATCATTAAGCATCTACGTCTGTCTACTTGGAAGTGCTCCGCGAATCCCTGGGCTGGCCCATGCAGTCAGAATAGAGACAGCCTGCCTCCTGAATATTTATGCTGCGTTGCTTGCGGTGCTTAACATTTACAGTGTACCACCAAACAACCAAGCCAAGTCTAATACGCACATAGCAAAATCAGTGGAACTCAGATAGATAATCTTTTCCTTATGCATGAATCTCGCTTTGTACCTGTTTTAAATACAAAGAATATAATGTATACGAAAATAAAATGGGTACCTGAAAATCTGTGTTCGTTACGTGGGTGTTCGCACGCCCCCCC